TGTCCCGCCTCTCCCAGGAAAAGTCTTGCTTCCCCTACACTTGGTGATACCTGGCTCATTCCTAAAAGGCAAAATGTGCTTGTCAGAGATATTTGTATGTCAGCTCTGCTGGGACACAGTAGAAGGGAGTTTCCCCAACTATTTCTGCTGAATGGCAGAATGTAATCAGAGGCTCCTGAGAGCAGTCACAGACCATCCCCCCCACCCCCCCCAACATGGTTCTCAGCTCACCCTGGTGTGCAGGGGCAAGTGGAAGAAGGGGTTGAAGTCCACAGTCTAGTGCTTGTGCTTCATACTGGTGTGTAAAAGGGCAAGATTCCCACCACCACCAGAGAAGACCTTTTACAGCAGTTAGACTTTTTAAGGTGCAAAGCAAGATGCTAGGCAAAACCTGGTTCCATCAGATCAGAACAGCCTTTCTCCTGGAGAATTAGCTGAGTAGCAGCTTAAAAACTGAGCCCAAGATAAGCAGTCATCATAAAATAGCTACTAAGTCAAGGTGGTATCGTCAGGTTCAACCCCAGCTCATGCAACTACATCAGTGGGATAAACTCCCAACTGTGACATGCCAGCCAGCCAAAGATGACCAAGCCTGGGCTCTGCAAAGTACCCTGGGAAGTAGCAGCCAGGTTATAGGGATGACAGCATGTAGGAAGACCCAACAGTACCTCAGAGTGTGGAGTCTCCCCCAGCCCCTCCTCATTTTTCTCCTTCTTGGAATGTATTGCAGCAGGGGGATGGCGTGGCCTCTTCCGCTTCCGCTGCTTCTCCAAGAGCTTTTCAGAAGCTGGAATGCAACAGAAAGACCACTTAAGGAAAATGCAGAAATAATTCCCTTGCTACAGGTGCCACCAGCAAGTTCTACACCCTTTCTGAGAGTTCAGGATGGGTCCTACTGTCTTTGAGGGCATAAGGGCTGGGGCAATACCAACCTCCAGGCAGTCTGCCCTCTGTCCTGCAACCAGAGGACCATTAATTTATCCTGGTTTAAGCTTCTTTTGCTAGGCTGCTGAAACATGTCATTGACTTTCAAGAAAGCTCCCCAGCAGAAAAGAAGAAATGCTACCAACACAAAGCTTACATTGCTAAACAAATACTGATAACTAGCTCCTCCCACCACACTGCAACAAAAACTTCCTCATGTAGATAGCAGTGTGATACAAAGGCAGATGGGGAGGCAGTACAATGCAACTGCACAACTGTCCCCAGGACAGGGCAGCCACGGTTGAGCCTGGTCAGGGCATGTCATCAGGCAAAAGACAGCATATCGGTACAGGACCTGTGCTGACAAGTTTCCTTCAAGCCCCCAGACTAACAATGAGAAGGGAACATCTCACAGAAATACAAACCCACCATCTCCACCTTCCTTAGGGAAATCAAGGACACAACACACACACAGAGCTACAGGCACAGATCCAAAATCACCAACAGCCTAGCCCCACAGCCCTGCCCTCGCTTACCTTCTCCCAGGTCTGGGAAGTGGGCTGGTGAGTAGAGCTCAGAGCTGTCGCTCTCTGAAGGGCCAGCGCCCTACAAACACACAACAGAGTCAAGTCACCACATGCATATCAGAGATGCGCATTCTTCAGACACTCAGAGCCTTTACGAGTGACTGTAACATGTAACTTACAGTTCAGGTCATTAATTCAACAGTGATTAGAGACTTCACAAGCAAACATTTGTTTTGTGTGTAATAGATCCCACATGGAAGTGTCAGTCTCTGGGCAGGGACGAACAATGAGTACACGCTGTGTCTTGGGCTCACCAGCATCATCCACTGTTGTCTGAGCTCTCCCGAAAAGGCTGCTAACACCCTGTAAACTGTTGTGAATAAAGACTGTCTTCTGTCTTTACACTTTTACGGAGATTAAAACTGAAATACACTGGCCTCTGCATTACTGCAACCATGAACTATATATTAAGACTGTGCCCCAGAGAGAGAAAAAGGAGGAAAACTCTTATTAATCAACCTTAGCAACAGTGGCAACAAGCCTTGTGCAGGTATGCCACCTGAAATAATTCCTTACAAGCTGTTTTTTTTCCAAACCATGTCACTGAATTACTGAGTGTTTAGCAGAGAAGAGCAGCATTTTTTAAAATCTGCACCAAGCACCATATACTACATGTGATACAACTCAAGCCTCCATCCTGCTACAACCTCTGCACTTACAAACCATTCACCAGCTCATTTGGGAAGGTAACAAAGGAAACACCGCTCAGAGGAAATCTGACAGAAAAGGACAAAGCCTTACGTTCAAGCTCAAGCCACAGCACAATGTAACAGTGACAGAAAGCCTCTGTGCAGAACATTTCTGCTCACATCTTCCCACTCAGCATCCAGATGACTCCTTTTCCATATAAATCAATGAAGAGAGGAGATTTTACAGCCAAAACTACCCAATCCCCATCACAAGAGGGGAGGGGAACACATCTGCATTCAGCAGATTTCTTCACCATAACACAGCAACCAGCACCTTTGGGAGGGGTGGACTTTTGCTTCTGGGCCACAGCCAACAGAAAAAACACAGCCCATTGCACCGTGTCTCATTCAGCAAGGTCTGCTGTTGAGGCTCATTTTCTATCCGGTTTTCAAAAGATCTGGAAGGAAAGTACCTTCTTTGGAGGAGTCCACTCCTCCTTCTTTGGCATAAAGGCAGTGTCCAAGTCATTGGATTCCAAGAGCTTTTTAGTGGGCTTCCTTTGACGCTTGGTTTCGAAGTTTCCTGCAATGAAACTCTTCACATCAGATAAACATATGTTTTCTTTTCAATCAGACTAAGACCATTAAGCAAATATCAGCCAACACTTCAAAACAATCTGCTTCACCCTGTCTTTGGGATCATAAGCTCCTTGGGCAGATGCCAACTACCTGTTTCTGTACAGCTTCCATAAAAACAGACCTCAGTCTGCCATGACCTTCAGGCATACCTCAATATGTAAAATAAAAATCAGCCCACAGAAGAGAGACTATGAAGTCAATGCCAGCAGGTAACACATCTTGGCAGTGAAATTCAGATCATAACTTCCCAATCACTTTGATCTGGCATAAGCCAGTCCTACCACTAACAAATACAGCCCTGCCTCCACTCCCACACCACTCCCACCAGCATTCACGCTGTGCATAGCAAACAGGCTAAGGACACGCTCCCGGTTAAAGCTACCTGGGAAGAGACACCCCAAACAAACGAGCTGTAACCTCCACCATTTCCTACTCTAGCTTTTTGCTAGCACTCAGGAGGTTGTAAGTTCCTAGACCTGGGCTCATCCACATTAATTTTGGCAACAGTATAAACTTAAACAACCAGGAAATTATGATGCTATGAGTGCAAGCCACGCCACAGAAACAGCCTGCTACCCACCCTGCCCTGTGCATCTGCTTGCTTTATCAGCCTTGGCTGTGCTCTCTGTAGCACACACCTCTGCGCTCACCACTTACACACCAGCTAACGGAGGGACAAAAAGGGACCATTCTCAAGGCAAGCCTCTGCCCACATCCAGGTTCTGCATGCTTCAGGTGAGTTTCCTCAGGAGGGGGAAGAGCTATGCAACCTCTGCATGCTGGATGTTTGCTCCCACTGCTGCACCCTGTACTGTTCTGCATCTCCAACCTCAGGTTTGCATCCCCAGTTTCTCCTCATTTAATCCTCTCCAACTTTCCATTTCCATCTGACACCCACAAGCCACCTGAAGCAATCTCTCTGCCTAAAACACACCAGGCTAACTGACCATAACTCTCTGCCTGCTTGGTTTAATATTTTTTTTGACCATAGGCCTTTTAGAACAGAAACAGTGTTCCCTCCAAGTTAGCACTGCCAGAACACCAGGGTTTTAACCCCAGACATGTCTTTAGATGCTACCAGAGAATGAACCTACTGCAAAGCAGACCCTGATACTGACTCAGCTGGAAAGGGGAAAAGCCCGTTTGGCTGCACTCGCTCTTAGTATACCAAAAGCTAAGGCTCTGGCTTGCTCCTAGTACAAGTCTCAGACAACTTCTACAGGTGCTTAGAACCTCAAAGAAAAAAGTTCTTCCAGAGAGATTTCTGTGCTACAATTCCATGAGCATACTATGAGAGCAAAAGGTCACCCCACGAGCTATGCGGATTAGATTTTGCAGATCAAACTTGACACAGCAATGTTCATCCAAAGGGGTTTAGCACCTTCAAGACAAAGGAATGCCACTGTTTGCAGGCACAGATGGCAAGACCTCAGAGAAGGAGCTGTGACTTTCTTCATTTGGACACAGAACCATCATACACTACTGAAAGCTAAAAGCTTAAGTGTAACCATCCAGCTCACTGGGTCACACACTGCACCTGCCCTCTCCCTTCCCAGCACCAGTACCGGTCATTGAATGAAACAAAGCAAAACCAAACTAAGAGATCAACAGGTACCAACCTTTTCACTCTGACCAACGCAACAATTTCCACTGAACTTGTGACACGTTCACTTACCAGAGCAGAATCACACAACCTCTCACCTGATTTCAAGAATCTCTCTTCTGCATCTGGAGAAGCAGAAACTTCAGAAACATCGGAGGAAGACAGCACCAGCTCTGGAAAATCTGAAGGTCCTCCTAGAAGTTGATCAGTGGAATGGGTTCCTAGTTCTGAGAGGGAGCACTCTGCCTCAAGGATGGGAGGGGACTCTTTGGTTGAAGATGGAGTTGAAACCAAAGGACTCGGCCCCCGCTGAGTATCTCTGTCAGGACTGCATTGCGCAGGAAGACCTTCAAATTCAGACCTTGCCACGGAATTCACCTACCATAGCAAAACATGTTAGTGAAAACACTAATCCTGCATGGCACTGCACACAGCAAGAACACTCAGCCAGCAAGAATGCATCGAAAGCACGCAGACCAGAGCCCCAGAGTAACAACCATGAAGAGCACATTAGCCTTCACCCACCTTTTGCAATTGCTCCTGGCCCTTCTTTGATTTTTTCTTGGGTGCAAATAAGTGATCATATTCTTCTGCATACTCCAGAAGCCGTTTACTTGGCTTTCTAAGGCGCTTCCTCTCTGAATGCACTAAGAAAAAGGAAAGAAGCTTTAAGACTGTGTCTCTGAGAGGATCGCAAGAAAAAATTCTCCACATCATCTGTAGGTAACAGTTGCTCCTGCCTTCTCTTCCGGAAGCTCCATGTGGGAAGAGCCCTGATACTTCTTTGTCTTTAATACAGCCTTATAATTTTTGAGCTTCCTATTTTCCACAATTCTGACACGGCTGGTGGGGTTTTAAGGGCCTAAGGGACTTCAACCAGTTCAGATAAGAAATCAAAACACATTAGGTATCTGACCGAAAGGCTCTTGGAATTTCACCTAACGCCTCTCTAGACAAACTACATCCAATCTTCTTCCAGTACTTTTACCAAAACCTACGTCTATTCGTAACTTAGACTCATCCTGCTACTTTTGTTGTTAACCCAAATTCCTTTGGTTCTAGTGTAGGGGCCTGTGAAAACGTTGTTTTCCCATAAAGTGGTACAGTCACTAGGTTCACTCGTAACACATAAGCCTCACTCCTTCCCTTTCCCTCCTCCCTGGCTTATTTCTGTATATACTAAAAGAGCCTTGTATTCCCCATCTGCTACTGCAAGCCCATTTATTGCCTTTGCTTTGTGACAATAGATTCCACAATGAGATCAGGGAGTGAACTGTCCTCGCCAGCGACTGTAAGCTCTTCAAGGCTCAGATGTCTTTGTTTGCACAATGCTGCACCTTCGCAAGGGAAACCCAGTGACAGGTACTTTGTTGATACAAACCTAACCACCCATGCTACAATACCTCACAACACCCTAACACACTGCAAGCTCCAAAAATAGAGCCCTGACGGTCTACGTCACCTCTACTCAGCAAGCTGCAAAAGCAAGATGATGCAAGCTTGTGTCTTTTTCTCACTTCCCAGAATACCTTTGACTTTTCCCCTTTATTTGTTTTCAGAATTATTAAACATTGTCAAAAGATTTCTCCTAGTCACAAAAACATTTGCGGTCTCCTGGAAGTTTAGGAACAAACAGTAAATATTCTCTTTGCTTCTCTTCATGTGTAGGAGGTGGCTTTTTCTTCTTTAAAACAGAAACATTTTATAACAAAGCATTCTAGTGCAACACTTCAGAACAGGGATGTTGGACAAGATTGCTACACTTTATTGTGGCTTTGTGGTTAAACAAGCATGAAAATGTCAAACTTAGCCAAAAGAGAAGAAAGGAACAACTTTCTCAAACACAGCTATTTTCAGCCTCTATTAACACTCAGGGAGAAATACACATTTCAGCACATAACCAGTTAGAGGCTGAGTATCTTCACTGTGTGACTATTTAGAGCCCCAAAGCCCTGCAGCAGAGCAGAGCACTGTGCCAGAAGGGCTGGCTTAACTGCATTTTTTTCCCCAAAGCAAATCCCGTACAAGAATCCCAAATACAGTCTGGCACTGGCAAATCACACACCTGACAAAACTATTATTTATAAAAATGTTTTATGTCAGCAAATTCCAGCAACCTTCACTTCTGCCTTATTTGCTCTAAATCGCACATGCCAATCGTTGACATTCAACTATGATGCAGAGTTGCTATAGTCTGAGCTTAGCGGAACTTACACAGTTGGGGCTGCGATCTCTTGTGATCTCTTAGACCAGTACTCAGCCTGCTGCAGAGAAGGATTAGCCACATCTCAAAGCACTGGCAAACAGAGAAAACTCCTCTCCTGGAAGCTGCAGTCAGTCTAACTTCCAGCATTATTCTACTTTCTATGTAACTGGCCTTGGCTGATGATATAACAGGAAGACTGCTTTCCATGAAATGGGCTTTCCCGAGCATTAGAGGTTTACCCACTACCAGCAGCACACAGGGGATGCTGCAGCAGCCCAGACAGCTCCTCACACACGGAGGCTTTGTGCACACTTGTACCGATAAGGTTCAGGTGTGCTTCAAGGCTCACGTGCTACTTAGGGCAGGGGAATTACGTTACATTGCAGTTGCCCATCTGTCACTTTTCCAAGCAAACCCAGACCCTCGCTGCGTCCCTGAGTGCAGTGCCAGGACAGCTCTGCGCTCGCCTCCACCAATGCCACCTCGGCCCAGCAGCCTGCTGCCTTCCTCTGACACCTCTCTCCTCTGAACATTGCAACCTCTCAGCAGCCCTCCTCTAGCTTTCTCTGTAGACTTGCACCTTCATCTCACATAGCAACATTAAAGGGATGCTTCAGCTGCAAAGCTGTCAGGAAGCCATGAGAACCTGGCTGCATCTCAGTGCAAACCAGGAACTCACTCGCTCTGGCAGGTTGTGACACTCCCACAGCAGAGCCCAGACAACCCCAGAACAACACACGTTCTCTCACCCGCTCTGCAAAGAATTATGTCCTCAAAACCATGCAGCCACAGCCAGAAGAGTCAGTGAATCATAGAACAGTTTGGGTTGGAAGGGACCTTAAATATCAAGTCCCACCCCCCCTGCCACGGGCAGGGACACCTCCCACTAGCCCAGGTTGCCCAAAGCCTCATCCAGCCTGGCCTTGAACCCCTCCAGGGACAGAGCATCCACAGCTTCTCTGGGCAACCTGGGCCACTGCCTCACCACCCGCACAGGAAAACATTTCTTCCCAATATCTAGTCTAAATCTACCCTCCAATAACTAAGTTTGTCATGATTTCAAACCAGAACTTCTAACCCATGCATTACACCCCATGGGCTCATTTTCTGTGCCTGCAGTGACATGCCCTGCACAGGTCCTGTGACTACTAAGCCAGGAGCTCCCTTTACCACACTGAAACAGAGGTGCAGGAAACCTCCAGCAACCACAAACAGCAAAATACACACACCAAAATGTGCCCTGAGGGAACACGTAAGTGACAAAATGCACACAGGTTCAGAATTCTGACAAGTTATATTAGCTTATGATATTGCAAATAGATCAGAACAACTTAGTTTGGTGAAACCTATGTAAAAATTTCATTTTGTTGCTTTAATTATGGTTTGCTTCTCCAGATTCTTTGCAAACGCATGAAGACAGCGTGTGCTGAATATGGTTCTGCTGGACATATTCCCTCCACACACATCTTTTTTTGGGTTTTTTTGGCTTCAACCAAAGTGTCCCCATTTCTGTGGGAGAGGCAGGGCTGTCTGACCTTGTGGTCCTCAGAAGCCTCCTCTTTCCTAGGTCATTTTCCTGCCAGTGATGCTGCCTTACTTCTGCCTGCCATCATCTTTCACACCCACTTCCAGCCCAGCCCCCCTGGCAGCTTCCCACTCTTCTCCCTTCTACCCGTCAGGCAGCCACGCCAGAGTTGCAAATTAGGAAATCTGTGGGGTTCCCCAATTTGTTATTAACAGCTAATAAAATTCCACACTGAAACACCAAAACACCCCAACACATTGTCCTGATGAAATCCTACAGAACAAACCAAAGACAGACTCTACACCAAACAGTACTAGGGGGAAGGAAAAAAAAAAAGCAGCCATTAAGGTTCAGTTTCCCACAACTCTGTAACACTGATCTATCCAGCTAACACCAAACACTGGCTCTAAGTAACACATTATGAAGTTTAAAAAAAAAATAATCCCAAACTTGGAAGGATGCTTATTTTCCCTTTCACTGTGAAGGAACTAATGATTTGTAACGTATTTAAATTTTCTGACAAAAAAGCTAAGCAAAATCTCATAATCACTCTGCCTTCTTTGTTCTCCATGTTTACAGGGAACCCAAAACAAAGGTATCACACTTCCTTCAGCTCAGAGGTATACATCTCTGTGTTGTCAAACAGCCCCAATTTCCATTAACTTATGCTTTTAAATTAAAAAGTATAAAATGTATGCAAATACAGACTCTGGCGCAAGTCCAGCTCCCTTACCTTGTGCAGAGAATTCAGACTGGGGAGCAAAGTTGCCAAGCTCTGTTTCTGAGTCCATCACACTGTTGTTTGGCTTACCACATACATTCAAACGTTTCTCAACTAAGTCTAAATGATTCTCATAGTCCTGACCTGTCAGGTGTCCCTCAAGCACCTTTGAATGAGGTGAACGCCTACGTCCCAAGCACTCATTTCCCTTCAGTGAAAAGCCACGAGAATTCAGGCCAAAGGCACTCTCCAAGTTTCCTTGTTCCCTAGATCTACTGATGTGCTTATTAGATCTAGCACTGCTTTGGTTAAAACGCTGCCACCGCTTTTTGGGTGCTACGTGATTTATATCATTAGACTCATCACCAAGAGAGCTCTCACTATTTGCCTCTGAATCCAAGTCTGGACTCTCCCCATTTTCAGCAGAAGGGCAGCTCTCAATATTTCTACCAGCTTCAGGTCTCCTTCCAATACGATCTAAATTGTCATCAGATAAACAGGCAGAGTCTTCATCAGTTGACTGTTCTGTTAAATCAATAGACTCTTTCCTCTCAGTATCTTCTGCTTCATTACCTAGAGGATTGGTAACCGAACCATGAACGCGGAATGCATGTTCTCCTGAATCTCTGGATAACCGACTTAGCAACTTACTTGGCCCTCCTGGTTTTAAGTCCTTTCTGTTTGAAACTGTTTTATCTCCAAGCTTTGATGACTGCTTAGATTTTGAACAGTTGCGTTTGGACACGCAATTTGTGCCATTTGTCCCAGAAACAGCAGTACTCGTGGGCTCCCTTTTACTAGTACCAATCCCCGTCAACTTGGTTGGAGGATTGCATGAAAATGAGGAGTTGCTTATAGCGGAGTTTGGATTTACTGTTTCTTGGACACAATCTCCATTTTTTTCTATTTTATATGGGGGACCTACAATAGACAAGGACTTCAGACCACTTGCAGAACTGCTTGCAGAACCATCAGCTGTGCTGGTATTTCGAAATGGGACTATATTTTGACCAGTCATCAGTTGCTGCTCTTTTGTCTTACTGTCATGCATATCCTTCAACATCATTAACAAGGTGCTGAATTTGTAATCTGGCTCAATAGGCAAACGACCGTGACCAGAGGCGGAAGAGAAGAGTAAAGGTACTGTGGCCTTTGGAGTGCTGGAGTCACTCGCATCATCATTCATGGACCGGTAAGACAGCTCCTTCAGCTCCGACAAGACTTGTTTCACCACAGCCGTTTCGATTTCAGCAGAATCCCTGGTTTTCTCATGCATGTTGTTTAACAGTTTCTGACCATCAACTTTTCCACTTCTCTGAAGAGAATCTCTCTGAAGGCCAGAGAAACCTTTGGTATCAGAAGAGCAGCGATTCACGCCACCCTCCTCTTCTGCAACAGAAGGCTCCAATCCAGAAACTTTTTCTTTATGTTTGCATTTTATACTCCTGATTCGGGGCAATCTCATGCTTTTCGGTTTTAAGATTGCTTGATTTGCAACAGCAGGCCAGGAGCTGTCCTTGGAAACACTTTGGGGAGTAGTGTGCTTGTTTTTAAGATTGTCTTTTCTCACATCTGGAGAGCACTGAAGAGCTGTCAATGACATCTCGGCATCAGCGAAGCCTACTTCAAGCGCACGATCTGCAAATTCAGTATCAAGTCTGTTGGTTACTGAACCTCCCAGAGGTTTGCGATCCCTGTATGACTTCTTCCTGGCCTTCTTCCGAGAAAGATACATGGAAAGCTTAATGTTTCCACTTGACGTCATAGGAAATTCCTTCTCCACTTTATCTGAAGAATCACTAACTTCAAGAGCACTAGAGGCTCTCTCTGAGCTTTGGTCCATGGCATCTACATCACTGTTCCCACCATCTGAGAGGGAAGAGGATGAATCTGATTCAGTTTGCTTTTTCTCAATACCAGCATCAGATGCAGAATAGTGTATTTGTAATTTGGAACTGCACAAAATGCCCAGGGAGCTCTTCTCTCTCTCCAAAGATGCACTGGAAAACAAATCCCCTTGGAGAGCATTCTTCAGAGCATCACTCTTATGATTCTCATAGTCTGGTTTCAAAGCTGTCTTTTCAAAACGTCTTTCTCCAAAGTTGGAAAGCAAATGGTTTTCCCTGGTGCTATTGGATGCTGTTAGGCTGTTGGCAATCCGGCGAAGTTCATGAGACGCGTGTTTATCTGGTAGGTCCCCAACAATCATGTTTCTAACTATGCTCTCTGGTGTTTTTTCTTTGATTTCTCTCCTAGATGCTTCCCCTCTTGCGCCACTCTTTTTTACTCTAGTCCTTTTTCTGCTGTCAGAGCTCTTTTTCACATGTGGCTTGATGTGCAATTTTCCTTTTTCACTGGCCAGGTGTCTGGAGTCAAACGCCAAGGATTTAAAACAGCCATTCAGCTGCCTGTCCGTTTCTGCTCCAGGGCCATTGGCATAGTATTCTGCCTGCACTTCCTTCCCGCTGTCCAGCTCGCTGGAGTTCTGGCTGCACTTTTGATCCTCTGGCCCCCCGAGAAGAATGTCTTCTGCCTGTCCAACACTGACTTCCCATTTAGCCATAAATCTTTGGGGAACCTTCAAAGTTGGAGGAGAGAAAAAAAGAAAAAGAAAAAAATTTGATGAGGTAAGCAACAAGATGAAAGTGAGACAGAGACGCACAAGGCACAGAACAGAGTGACAGTCCTGCACTTTGTGTCTTTAAGACAATCACACAGATTCCCAGAGACTGTGCCTAACACACACAGAAAATACTGCTCCTGGTTAAGTACCCTGCACTCCTGCTGAGCCTAATAAAAATCTCAGTGCATTCCCAAAACAGCAAAAGGTGCCTGCAAGCACAGGTCTCCCAGGAACCAGATGTCCTGGCAACCCAGCGCACCCGGAACACAATAGAGTGTAAAGGGGAGTACGTATGGTATGGATCCCTGGCACAGAAATGCAAAGCAACAGCCAACAAGCCTCTCAAGGCAAAGGCAGCATCATTTTCCTCAAAATATTTTAGCAGACGTGTTTGTTTTGCTCTTTCTTCTTTCTTCCTGCATCCCTTGAACTCGGAGTATTATTCCATTTTCCCTCTCCATCAACTCATCTTGGTACAAACATTAGATACACACAGACATCTAAAACGTACTCTATCAAATTCAAGACATCCATTACTGAGAAGTCTCCCAGCTTTAACTCTGTACCTTTAGCATAAAACAAAAAGCACTTTGCATACTGGACAGAAACCTCTGCTAACATCTAAAACCAGCAAGAAACTGGTTTCTTATCTGTGTGCAGTTTTTGGCTGCACAACAGCAAATCCAAGGTTTCATAACTGTTCCTAAAATCAAAACCAACTCCAAGGCAGGAGGAACAACTCAAATTTCTGACACTTTTCCTGTTAAAGAAAAAACCATACCAACAAAATCTCATCTCGTCAGATTAAAAAAAGTGTTATGGATCCTGACAGCAAGCCAGCCAAATACTCTCAAGATTCGCTTCACATCTTGGCTTCCAGGGATGCAAGCCTGGACATTTATGCGAGTAACAAACGTTTGATTCCCACTACTGCAGCCACGCTGGCATTGCCATTTACATACAAAATGAGATTCTAGCTGTGTGGCACTTCTAGGACCAGAAAAGTTACCTGGGAGCATGTAGCTAGTTGTTAGGGGGCTGGGAACACAAGCAGAGGACTCCTTAGAGAAAATAATGAACATGCCCTTGGAAACGGAAAACCAAACGAGAGCATTACACCTGGGGACTCACACCTGCAAGAGCACATTTAATCTGACAGTTTTGCACTAACATAGGTTAAGCACATAACTGTTAATAAAACTATTGGAAAAAAAGAAAAACCAGACACCATTGCCTGGTATGACTATCTGTTCTCTTACAGTAACACATCTGCCTCTATTTCTTCCCTTCAGCAATTCTAAAAAGTTAGTTTCTCCAGTCACCTTCCTAGAGACATAGACCAGACCCCTGTGTCACGTTACATTACACTGGCTACAACTCCCCGGGGCTGTTATGTTTGGAAACGCAGATGATGCGATGAGGCACAAAACTTCATTCCCACAGGCTGACTGACAAAGAGTTTTCCAAGTCAAATTATAAGTCCTAACAGGTTTCTATAAAGAGGATTACTGAAGCAGAGCTAAAAACCCCACTGCTTTATCTCAGTCAGTGATCTAGTGAAGCATGCAGCTCCACCTTTGCTTCAGATCAGCCAAAAGAGGCTGCCAGAGAGCACAGGAAGTTCTTTAGAAGCGTGCTATAGTAGACGCCAGGAGAGGACTGCACCACTGAACACATCTCACATCTGCCTCACATCGACAGAGACCTGACTCCTCTGCCTCTCCAAGCTGTCTAGGGCAACAAAAGCAGCAGGCCACACCCTGACATAAAAGGTAGAAACTCCAGCAGGTTATAAACTATGCTCACTGGTAGGATGCAAAGAAGCACTTCCCTGCCTGTGCTGCTGCAACCACTGCCACAGAAGAAAGCTGTCAAAGTGCAATTCCAGGCATTAAGGAATACTTTGTACTGTGCAGATTCAAAGAATCAAAAACATATTAGAGAAAACAGATCTTGCACCTTATGTTTGTAGCCTTTTTCCTTTTGCTTTCCTCTTCTCCGGAGAACAGGCAGCTCTTCAAACTGATGTCTTCCTTCAAAGAGGACAATAGCTTTCCCAGCAACCCAGGTTTTCTCTGAAGGTTCTCCTAAGGCATCCACATAGTACTCCCGGTAAGGTCTCCGATTGGAAACTATTTTGAGAAATGTAACAATTAACCCCTTGCAAGTAATGGAATAAAGACAGACAAAGAGAATCACACAAAATGGTAGCAATTTGCCAGTTAATTTTTGCTTAATAACATCCCCACATGAATGCCAGTTCTGAGGATTTCTAGTCAGAAGTCAGGGAGAGGCCTTTGATCTCTACTTTCTACGTTCTGCTACGCTCGATTTCTGAATGTATTTTTTTCTGACAAACAGCTGACTAACAGATCTAAGATGGGTCACCTCCCTAAAGCAAAGACTACACTTTGGCTGCAAAAAGATTTGCAAAAATATCCAATTACTTTTTTTTCCTTGAGAGACACAACATACTAGGCAGAACCTTTCTTTTTTGCTACTCTGTGATTAAACAGCCCGGTCCACTTGACCCTTGGGAAAAGGTAACAGTGTGCTGGCAACACCCAGAAATTACATCCTTCTGGACAGGATTTACTCATACAAGCTGAGCCTCCCCCACCACGATATAGCCCATCTTGTCCAATGCTTTGTTACCAGACTCTTATTTAGAACATAAAACAATAACAGCAGCATTTAAGTTAGTACACACATGCATGGACACTCTACAGGGACTGGTGCAACATGACAAAATGTTAGTTGTAATGAGGATCTCCATACTTTGGTTACAAAGGTGGAGAGCAAGAGAAGAAACTCAATCGAAAGGGCACTATCAAAGATTTCTCCAAGGTGCCTTCTGTGCGAGAACGCTGAATAGACACGGTACAAATTAAGAACTGAACCAGTACTGGGTGTGTTGGTGAAAAAGGACAGGTTACAAGGATTAGAACAGAGCAAACAAGGCTTGATATAAACTCCCTGCATTTAGCTGCAATGTGCTCTTCACATTCACCTTCTGAACACCTTCCCCCTCTGAACAGGTAGCCTAGACTTCGCCACCCATTTGGTTTGTGCTGCCTCTCCCAGGGGTGCCAGCACAGCACAGCAGCCTGGCCTTTTGCGATGTCAACATTGAGATTCTGACCAAGACCACTGACGAGATCACAAATAACGACCAGGGCAACACCAAACCAAGGGCGAAGACAACAGACTTCATTCGTCCTATTCACAGCACTGGGACTCAAGCCACTGAGCCTCAATCTTTCAGCTCCAAAAATCGAGTCAAGAGCTTGCAGAGAAAAGGCAAACTGCTTTATACAAAACACCATGCCTCAAACCCAAGAGGAGAAGAGGTTTTTGCACAAGCGATGAGTCTGAAGTGACCTGCCTTGTTTTGAAGGGCTCGTTCCCTTGGCAACAGGAGAGCCAGGGCAGGAGGACTGTGCTTCCCAGGGTGCACACAGAGCCCCAGCAGCTCCTCCTGCCCAAAAGCATCAGAGTTCAGATTCACCCACTCTGCCACTGCAGCACTGGGAGGGGAGATGAGCAGACTGCAGACAGACACAACTGCAAAATGCATTTTTTCCCAGAGGTCTATTGGTTTCAACACAGATAAAACATGATGGGAGAGTCTATCATGTAGCTGGAGATCAGACCTTGCTGGAATTTGTTAACAGCATGTTTCCTCCCTGCAGAATTCCTTTATTAGAAATCCTCATTCACAGGCTGAGAGGGGACTACTGAACAGCTATATACGTTAAATCCTGTCCAAAACTTCATGGGGAGGGACGCATAGGGAGAATATGTCTGGCGTATCTTCCAGTAACATCTTCAACAGGAATTTGAGAGCTCGAAAGGGATTATTTAAAACAGCACGTTCAGTATTATCTACACTCAGGATGAATGCCTCCCAGTGGATGAAGGAGAAGGTGAAGAAATACCAAGTAAGAAGACTACAGCAACCAGGCCCCAGGATGACATGAGCACAACGTAGGAAAAGCTACTTCATGACTCTAGAGAAATAGCAGAGGGCTCTGAGCTGACGGCCACTTGAGAAAAGTCTACTTGCTCTCAGCACTTGGTTCTTAGGATGGCAAGGGCCACAAAAACTGGAGAGAAATACATCGGTGGGTGGCAACGTCACCGGTCTGAGCTGTCAGTGGCAGACAGCACCAGTTCAGAGGGTTTCCAGTTGCCCACAAAACAAAAAGAATCAGAAGAGGAAACCAGGAACAAATAAATAACCCTTCATTTGTGACAGCCTCCCCATGGCAGCTAGTATGATCCTGAAAGCACTGAGAGCGCCTTCAAATGAGCTGCAGTTTTCAAACAATCACTTCCCTTCTGCTCTCTCCAGCACTCACCTACACTTCTCTGCCTTCAGCTTGTAAGACTCTTCCTTCCTGGCTCTCCCCTATGTTCACGCACACACAGCTGTCTTCCCTCATCTCTTCCCCCACACTCAGCTGGCTCTTGGTCTCTCTGACACACTATGCCCTAAACTTTCACATATGCGGCTCCATATCCAGGCTTTTCCATTATTTTCCCATAAACAGCCCCTTGCTTCCTTGTGCCAAACAAAGACAAAAAAAGATTTCACTTCCTCACACATTCCCATCACACCTTCAGGCAACCAGCACCACACTGCACTATCCCACACTCCGCTTCTCAGCCTCTCCAGCCTCCCACTCTCCAAGCCTGGCCGACTCCGTGTCCTCACACACTCCAGCCTTCCCAGCTCTGCTTGCCCACCCATTGCACATCTGTCTTCACCTCCCTGATCCACCTCCTTTTTCTC